GGGACACGAACCGCGGTCGACTACGTGGGAGTCCAGCGACATAGCCATTACGCTAACTGCTGGTTCCCTGTATTCTTATTGTTAAAGAAAGCCTACCGAATTGTATAGGCGCCAGGCCTCGCGGCATCTGGGTACACCCTAAACGTGCTGCGTGATGTACTCGTTCTTTTCCTGTTGTCTCTTGCCTGTCTCTCCTCTCTCCCCAGACATGAGTGCCACCCAGCAGGGCTCTGGGTTCAGCAATGGTGTTAAGAACCTGAACGGTGCTTGGCACATGGTAGGCACTCGGGATGTGTGTGTTGAATGAGTGGATTAGTTTACAACAATGGAATGTTGATGTTAGTCTAATCTAATCCAGTTTAAGAACAGTCAGTATTGACAGGAAGGAAAGTGACAAGACTATTCCATGGAAAACTCTCCCCTTTAACTCTGCACTTGTAAGACGAGGGGCAGAGAGGGAGCTCCTGTTCCTGGGTGTTTCATCGGTAATTGTGTCATTCCAGAGGATCGGGATCATTATTTTTTAGGTTCTATTACTTTACTCCTTGGGACCCAAGGTTAGCCTGAGCTGGCTTTTTGCATCAACCCACTCCAAGGGTGAGAATTTAATTTTAGAGCTGTAGGGAGGGGAGGGCATGTGGAGAGCCGCTGGGAAGCCAATACAGCAGCCGGTGTTTCGTGAGCCAAGGATCAGGCAATAGGGAAATAAAGGAAGACTGTGTTTTATTTTCCTGTATCTAGTCAGTCAGAGAAACTCCCATCTAAAGAGAGCTATCCTTGGGCACTAGAAATTCAAATACTCATGCAAAGGAGGAACAAACATACATCTGTGACTTGATTTTTTTTTAATGGGCATATTAATGTAGAATCAAACCTTAAGAAAAGCAGAATCTCAGAAGATTTCCCTTTGGAGAAGTTTTATTTTGTAGACATACAGCAAAACACATGATTTGAATGCCTAGCAGAGGGCCGCGTTCTCTCAGTTAAACAGTCAATCTTTAAGTTAACCCTAACACACCTTTACGCCCTCCTAGGGCTTTTAGAGCCATGACCAGCTCTGTTTGGTTTTGGGAACTCCCTTCGGGGCATGAAAGGAGTCTCATTCTCAGTAGTGAAGAAGGCAGGGAGCTATGGCAGTTCAGGTGCTGGCCGAGTTCTCTGCTCTGTGCTCACACTGCTGATTTCTAGAATAACACGCTGCACTCTGACTCCACGTCTAGTGACTCGACAGAGAATCATCAGAAGTTCTCCAAGTGGGCGCATTCACTCCTAAGTTTCTCTGTTTAGTTTTGCTCCAGGCTAGGGTGCTGAAGAGCTCGCTGGGGGCAGTAGCATGCTCTTCCCACATATTCGTCATTCCTTTGCAGGCAACAGTCGGATGTAAGATTCCTTGCACGAATGGAGCAATTTCATGGTCATAATGTGCCTTTACTCAGAAAGTGGTTTCTTCCTTCCTTTCTTCTTTCCTTCCTTCCTTCTTTCTTTATTTTCTTTTAAATTTACTGTATGGAAGAGATATTGATGGGGGTGGAGTATCAGTGCACCAAGGCCGAGAGCTGTCATGTCTCCACTGGATGACCTGGAGCTCATTGAGAAGCACTGAGTGGAATGAAACCCATGGATCCTAATGTGGTGTGATTCTTTTCTTAAAAAAACAAAACAAAACAAAACAAAACTCTTTTTTGCTTATAGGCTGAACAAGTGCATATTAGGATTATTTTCCAAACTAAGTTAAGGTTAATTAAGTGAATTTTAAACTTAAAATTCTCAAAAGTAAAAAAGTCTCAGAAGTTAAAAAAGGAAAAAAAGAGAGAGATTATTTTGAAGTAAGTTATTTTCCTAAATTACCTTCTCCGGAAATAGCACTAGACACATAAAATGGCCACATGAGGTGATAGGCATGTCAGAAAGGGAAGAAGAGAACTTCTGAGAAAAATAAAAACGAGGATTTAAGTGCTCCCCAGCCATCGCCGGGCTGCTCCCTTTCTATGCTTGGTGAGCACCACGCCCTCGGGCTCCACTGCGGGCCGGAGGGGTGGTGGTCCCTCTACTGCAGCCTTCCTGCCGGGCGATTCCCTGGATCCTCTCGACCAGAACGTTCGCTAGTATTTTTTTTCTCTGAGTGAGTGTTACATAATGCCGTGTTAGGAATTTTATCTCTGTTCTCAACAACTTGTCGGATACATGCACCTAAGATGGGTGACTTTCATCGTCCTGTTATGCAATAAATCTGTCAGGTCAAATTTCCTCTGAGTGAGTCGAAAGATGAGCCGAACGCAGATACGTGTTACATATAAATCAGACACGCCTCACGTAATTTGTGGCTTTTTGTTTTTCAAGAAGACCGAAATGAGCCAGTGACTTGGTCACTCTCTGACGTCTCCTCGACTTGCTCTGTGTAAGCACCCACTATGGTCAGTGACTCTTCAATGTTCACGTTTTGTTCCCTGTCGAGGGTGCAGAGGGTGCCTGTGGTTCAGGCTCTGGAGCCGGGAGGAGCAGCAGGAGCCTGCCCTTTTCTTTCCCACCGTTGCTCTCCTGCCGGGTGCTCCCTGTGTCCAGCTGGCCAGTCCTTGTTGTGCACGGTTCCCACATACTGGGCGGCCGTGGTCCCTGGCTCAGGGAGGACCCTGCACGGATATGTGCGTGGATGAGTGTGTGCACGTATTTATTTTAATTTTTAACATCTTTATGTTTTTAGGTATTGGAAGCTGGTAAAGACACTGGAGAGACCTCTGTTCATATCAGTGAAAAAGAGCTGAGGTCTAACAGCCCAGCCCAAACCGGTGATATGATGGAAAGA